TGCATCTTAGGTAACACATCATAATAATATATCATAATCATAAAGAGTTATTTACGATTATAATAATTTCACTCTCTTTCCCTCTAACTGTCTGTTTAAAATCATTATTCAATTCCTATTTGAAATCAGACAATTCCGGTTTTGTGACGACACCGGTATTCTTTATAATAATAATAATAATAATAATAATATTAATATTATAATATCTATCTGATAAAATACATTGTGTTGGCGCAAACGTAGCGCACCGATGTGAATTCAATCGAATAATATCACTGGAGGTTCCGGTGATGATTATATGCGTATTACAATCTACAGTCGATTATTTTGATTTAAATATTCTACTGACCGAACAGAGTCTTAACCGTGGACTTTCTATTTATTTCATATTGGGTAAAGCACTGTAATAATATAATTATAATAAACCTTATTATTATGTTGTACAGAGTGTTTATCAACAACATTTTCATAGTTGTATATTTTTGAAACGATTTTCGATTAGTCATTTTACTATATTATTTCAAGCATTATTTTTTCGATCACATTTAAATATTGAATCTTATTCGATGTGATTTTGATAGAATAATATCACTGGAGATTAGGTTAGTTGCATTGTGATCAACAGTCGATTATTTAATATTCCAATGATAGAACAGAATCTCAATCACGGAGGTTCTATTTATTTCATAAAATTGCAGTGTAAGTATGATAATAATAATTAATAGCACTATAATAGCATAAACACTATACATTATAACATAATAATTATTGTGGGGGACGAGGTGGCCGAGCGGTCTAACGCGTCGTCTGCGGCGCTAGCAGTCGCGGGTTCGACTCCCGGCCACTGGGCGGCATTTTTCTCCGGGCAAGTCACGGTGTCCGGAAAACAAATGCCGCCATCCCCCACTCCGGGGCATGGCAGAAACCTAAGGGTGCCCCATTCAAAATTCTGCCAAAATACACCCACGTGTAACACCCCCTACCGTTAAACAACCTACAGTACCAACCCCCTCTCCCAATGACCTAAGTTGCCGCGGGATAAAATTAATAAAAAAAAATAATTATTGTGCAGTGTTTGTCAACAAAAATTTCTGAGTTTGTATTTTTGAAATTATTTTTGTGCGGTAATTTTATCATAATAATTTCAAGTATTATTTTTTCGATCACTTTTAAATATTGAGTTTTAATTTCCACGAAACAAGCTGTAAGAGTTTTAATATTTTGATAAGATGAGGAAGGCACATATTTATTCATTCCTAATGAATTAAGTAGGTATAGCTGTATAGGTTCGAATACATTTCACCGAGACAATATTTTTGTTATACACATTAGGTTGTTTGAATTCTTGAAACATTGACAGTTGTGCGATTCAACAATGGTTTCAAAATATTATGTGGATAATTTCAAATGTATTTAGACGTGTGTAAAGTTCAATACCAGACAATACGTACATCGATTGTACCCTGCAACGGTATTACGAGAAAATACAAAAGTAGGTATTACTCTGGTCTCTTTGTGTTCAATTTTAAGATCAATCGCGACATTAAATTATACAATATAAATGTTTTCATTAACTTTATTCATTGTTGTACATCAGTAGTATACATATTGATCTCCCGAATATTGTCAAAATACAATACCTACTTTGAAGAGTTTATTTTTCGTTAGTGAGTTTCTATGCCACCCCAGTGTTATTTACTCGACATTGTGTTTTTTTTTTTACTTTTTATCCGTCCCAATCGGTTCCTCGTCAAATTGTGAAAAATGATCGTACCTTTCGGGCACCCGAGGGCTTTGCTTGAAACATTTTCATTGTTCATATTCTATAGTTTGCATATTATAATATTACCTAGTCCAACGTTGTTAGGTATTGGTCTTATGGGGCCATGTGCGTCTATAAATAAATTATCAATTCGACTAAGATAAATTATTATTTTTATCAAAATGTATAAAATATAATATTAAAATTGATTTAAAAAAAAAAAATTCTAAAATGAAAATAATTTAAGATTATATAATATACAACAAGTCTTTTTAACATTATATAATTTGATAAAATATTACATTAAGTTATTGAACTTAATGGTATACGTACGGTATATGTATATTTTAATTTTCTGTGTCTATAATTAATTATCATACACCACAATACGATATCATGATAATAATAAGTAATGGAAAATAATATTAAAAAAAACAAATTAGGGTTCCGAATGGTTTTTATTATTTTGTACTATCTTATATTATCATTACAATCATTAATTATTGCCTAGATCTTATATTATGGGATTGTACCTACGTAGTTGTATTATATCGTTAAACCATACAATATATTAATATAATAGTCTGTATTTACTTGTAGATTGTATAAAAGGCGGACTAGTAACAGATACTATTATTACAGGTTACGGTTTTCGGTGAAAAGTAGAGAAATAATTATGGTTTTTATTAAAGTACTTGTTATTTTATTTTGCCATCATATAAGTTATATTATTATTTTTATGGTTTTGGCAGAAAATCGAAAATAAACTGACATATTATTGTCATTTCTATAGATATTTCACTAGTATGGTATTGGCGCATTGCAGAATACAATATTATTTTAACTATTTAATACAACTCCCTACAACTCCTCCCCTTCCAAATCACTGCACCTTTTTTCATTCCACGATTAATTTGAAGATGTGAGATATTAGATCATCAAGACGTACCTATAGATTTGTTGAACCGAAATAAAATTTTCGTTTATGATTTTATCGTGCTTCGGGTCCTAACTTTTATTTAAGTTTAGTTCTGGTCCAGCTTTAATTAATTAATTCAGTGAATATAGGTTATACGGGCTACATTCTATTATGGTTATGAGCCTTGCATAAAATTACAGATATATATATAATAATTAGATAGCCGACTTCTTCTTATCAATGACTCTGGTAGCCATGCACACAGATATATATAATAACTAGATACCCGACTCCATATACCACAACTTTATTAAATTATGATGCCCGACGCCATTTGTGACTATGGCAATGTTTACAAATTCTTATCATTTTTTAATCGTTTTGATATCATACATTGTGATACAAACATAGATATTATTATACATTTATACAAATATTTCATAACAATATACTCATAATATAATTATTTTTTCATAAACTTAATATTATTACAAGTATTCTTATACAGTTTTACATAATTATACCATAATTGATGGATGAACCAGTTAAGTTCAACTCATTTTACATTGCACGATTTACTGTAAGCCTAAAAATATAAGTTTAAATCAAAGAATCAGTGAAGTGAATATAATAATATTGGATAGAGGCGAGGGAGAAGAAGCATAGTCTAAATTAAATGTAATGACAGTGAAAAATTTACATAATTAAACACAGGTAAATATAGGTGTATTAAATGTAATGACTAATGAGTCAAATACCTACAATAATCGTCGAAAAAGGGTCAGTACCACAGTAGTCAGTAAGTTGGGCAACAGACTTGTTTGATATGAACTATTGTTATCATTGTAAACATTGCCATAGTTGTAAATGGCTGCCAGCGTCATTGATAAGAAGAAGTCGGGTATCTAGTTATTATATATATCTGTGGCCATGCACAACTTGGGCAATGTTTACTAATCGTTAGAAAGGTAATAATATGATAATAAACAACAACATTTCAAACAAGCCCGTTTCCAATCAAAACGATTAAAAAATGATAAGAATTTGTAGACAATTCCCAAGTGACAAATGGCGTTGGGCATTATAATTCAATAATGTTGTTGTATAATATGGAGTCGGCTAATAGTTATATATACATCTGAGCATAAAACCAATTATGAACATAATATTATTGTTAAACAGTGATTCGCAGGGAATTTATTTCCTTTAATTAACAATGTCATAACTTCATGAGACGATGGCGACGATGCGTATGTCAATTTATGCAGTGTACCACAGGGAAAGTGAAATATTGTGTTTGACACACTTATTATCTGCCCCGTAACGTAAACATATGATTTGTGTATATTTCTTCATTAATTTTCGTAGAACACTAGATATTGTACTTTTGACATTTTAACGCTATAACGTCGCGGCAAGCCCACTAAAAAAAATAATAATAATAAACTAGTATAATACATACCTATAGGTAGTACGGAAAAACACGTTTTTTTAGAATAAATTGTCCAACCAGGTTTTACCGTCGACGCTAATGATGTTATATCGAGAAATAAGTATCGTCTATTCCACTTGGTATCGAATCAAAAACGAATATCAATGCCTTCCAAGTAACTTTATGAAAGCATCAATATTTTCTCATACTAATACCAAGAACATTTGAAAATCATAAAAAAATATATGGGTAGTTTAATATATGTACCTAAGTCATATTGAGAAAATATGAAATATAAAAACAACAACATACATGGGATGCAAGCCACCAGATGAGAGAATAATCATAGGTTGAAAAGTAACTTACGATAAAAAAAAAATTTGATTTTGTTAAGAAAAGTAAATATTAAAAAAAAAATTGATCTATAGTTAACAAACAATATTATATTTATTTCAAAGAGTTCAAAGTTTACTTGGAAAAAATATTAATTTACTCTGTTAAAAATAAGTTGATTAATTTCTAGTAATTATCAGCCTAGTCACATAACTAGTTTAGTGTAACTTCCATTTTTTTAACTAATTACTATATATTTTGTTAAACATTCATCCTAGTATTTCTTATTGAACTTATAATCTATAGTAGTTAGAGGAATCAGTACATTTAATGTAAGCTAAATACTAATTAATCCAGGAGGCAGGAATATGTTTTGTTTTATTTAAAATAATTATACTCACGGTGTTTAAACAAACCATTAGTAGTTCATTTTTCTTAACTGAAGAAAATGGTAGTTTATTTCAATGAACACTTCAACTTTTTATTTATTTAACTAAATTCCTCCTGAGGATCGCTTCGCACTTGAACTAATCACGATCCACAGAAAACTATAGATGACCCTGATATATGATCAATTTGGCGACAGAGGCCTGGAAGAGCAGAATTCTTCCGACCTGAAGAGCCGAGGATACGGAGAAATCCTAAGGATCTCACGTTCCACTAAGATGTCACTCGTCTCAGTCTGGACATGGGGTTTTCAGGCAATAAATGTATCGGAAGCGGCTCGACTCAAATTCAACCTGGTCGTACTGCCAGCCCCCGTCACTATCAATCACAAGCTATTCGACTGCCAACACCGGAAGTTATCCTGGCGAGCAGTGAAAGCGTATATGGCAAAGGCAGGAACATCGTCCCGAGAGACGTCCATGATTTTCTGTTTGGCCCCACACAGATATTCCATGTCGTAAGGTTGGTCGGTTCTAGACACCATCAACTCTATCAACCAGTGGCGGTTTTGAGGGTGAGGCAAGTGAGGCGCCGTCTCACTTGTAATTTTCAGGAAAATAAAAAATATTTGTTTCTTTGCATTTATATTTTCTACTATTTTGAATTTTAAAATATTAATTGTATAATGAAATTTTTAAATTTTATTTATATATTTCAGACAGTAAATGCTTCAGAATTTAAGTATAATAAACAACAATATTAAATATTACTTTTTGTACAGAACTTGTACGAACGCGATAATGGCTGCGCGTCGCTGTAATGTAACGTATGAGCTGTTATAGCCGTTTCCATTTAATATTGCGCCCGCCGATGCCACCGCTAAAGATCAACAGAGGCGGTGGCCACCGTCGCCTAAGTCTGTGCATGCGAGGTGTGTCTACGCACACACACGTAATATCGTAAAATAGTGTGAATAGCACATGCTTAGACCACCGCCAGAGGCGACTAAAATCAACCGCTCAACGATAATTATATACATTTATAAACGTTGGCCGACGGGTACATAAATTGCATGCAGCCGCTCTACTAGGTGGGGGGCTGCGCTCATTAAACTATATAGCTGTTGTCACTGATACACGGCCGTCGCAATGTCAAACGTCTGTTGCCACCACAGATATAAAATACTATTTTATATCTGTGGTTGTCACTGATATACGGCCGTCGCAATGTCAAACGTCTGTTATCATTAATTGGTCGTAAAATATTATATATAGGTATCTGTGAATATGATAAAGTTATTGTTTTTGCACGGTATTCAAAGATATCTTCTAAGACCATGGTTATTACTTTGTTGTTCGATTTAAAGAATACATTAACATATTTTGTTTATGTTAGAGTAATAGTGTCTTTACTATTTAATATTTTTCCTCCTCATGTAAAATTATATGTCAAAACCGCAACTGCTATCAACATACAAGTTGTCCATATATTATAACAAAAGCCTAGTACCTAGTACCTACACACTTTAATACGAACTCGTGATAAACATTTTATAGGTAAAATAAATGACGAGCACACGTATAGTAGCATCGACGGAGTGCGATGCAAATGAGACATTCCAGAAAATCGGATATTTTGCACGATCCGTCGACAATAACGAAGATTAATGAAAAGAAAAGAGAAGGAAAACTGAAACTCGAAATCATATTCGCATATATTATAGGCGGGTACCAATAGTATACAGAATATTTATATATGTATATTGTATACAGGTATACTATAAATATAAATAAATATCTATACGAGCGGTACTTGGCCGAATAGACTACTCTACAGGTGTCGGAAAAAGATGATAAATTATTATCGTTCAGACTCTTTTATATATAACACACATAAGTACCCTCCCCAGTAGAACACATCGATTTTACTCCCACACGAGCATTAACAATAATTATCAGTATACCGGGTGGGTTATTCTCTTAACAATAAACACTCCTCAATGTTCCTCATTCTCTCAAAAAGTATTGACGTATTTTAAAATATTTATTTTTTTTTACATAAGTTAAATTCATGACTAAAACCACTGTTTAAAATATTTTATTTATTGTTATTAGTTTCTTATATGTTTACTTTTTTGGTATCATAAGATAAATCTTTTTCCGAAGTTTATAATTTTAATGTATAAAAAAAAAATCAATATTTAAATGATTATCTATCGTCAGTTACTTATAACTTATGAGCAATACAATTTTAGAAGAGCGATACAGTTGAGTGGTCCAGAATTTCTGATGTTTTTTCCTGCAGATGTAAAATAATATTTTACGTAAACGTTAACATACGCCACATAATATCAAGATGACGATTGTTCCATTCATTACATGACAGCTATAATGTATGTGTTAATATAATTATTATTTTATTATAAAATATTATTACCTCTACACCAATATTATCAGATATTACTACTCCTCTATAATATACGTTGCCGATTAACGCTTGTGGTGTTTTTTATTGTCAGTGTTGAAAAATTACGATGTCGTGATACCGCACGGTTCGTGTACATCACCGCAAGTGCAGCCCTCTCCCCCCCCCCGCCGTTCGCGTTATAATGGCGAAAAGAATTTTCTCCCTAATCGCGTGTTGCCTATTGCAAGTGGCGGGCGCGGTGCAGTTGGTCGGCACAATTGTGTTACACCGCACACGCACACACACACACACACGTGGTGGAAACCTTGCGAATTTAATGACACTGACGTCCAGGGCGAATAATTTTCTGCGAGAAAACGTACCTGAGTGAGCAAAAAAAAAATAAAAAAATATGCAAAACGCGGAAAAAAAATATAAATATAAATAAATAATACGATTTCCACGGCCGGGAACGCGTGTCGTGGGGCGAGTGCACCGCGTGCTCACCGAATACAGCGGACACGTTTATTCAACTCGGAAAGTATTTTCCGGGTACGCGTAAACTTCCGGTCTCTCCACACGTGGATACACGCGCCACTGCCCCTACACGCTCGGCATTCCCGGCACACACACACTCACACATCACATCCCCCCCCCATCAACCCCGCCGATCATCACAGTTCCTGCACGGCGCGAACGCATATAATATTCAACTCTGCACGTCGTATATTTCGCGTTAAGTACTTTAAAATTACTTTTTTTTTAATCTGTAGCAGATACTACTAATTTTATTTCGCCCGATGCGGAAAAGTTTTGGCTTTCAAACATAAAAACCGTACACCGCGCAGCGAGCCATAACACTGTTTCAACGCGTGTGTTTGGGCCCGCGACTATAATAATAATAATATAATAATAGTGTAATGTCGTATCATGTTTCGTAAAAAAGTCTTCAAAACCTTTGATCATCTCGTACGTAGGACGTATGTATGGCGTGTCATACCACGTCGCGGACTTTGTGACGCCCACGCACACCCATATCGCATTAAATCCACCCCAGGATTTTTTATGCAACGCGCGGTTGTAATATTATATAGGTTAGGATGGATACCTGCTGCAGATCCTCCATATAATAACGCGTCGGGGTAAAAGTAATTTATTACACGGCTCCGTCTCGATGACGGACCATTAAGTGAGCGTGCCCGACCCGGTGAAATTGTCTTTTAATGACACGCCGAAAACGTTCGAATTTTATCGTCCATTATAAATTACCACCACCACGACTGTAGATAAGCAAAAAAAAACCGCAAATCGAAAAGGCCATAGTTTTTAATTTTTCGTCGCCGAATTCGTCTGTAAATCTGCTGCGGTCGAGACCGCATCGTCGACGTCATCAAAAAACCACCGCGGGAATAATACTTGAAAACGAAATTGATTCTGTGTGATTCTAAAATATTATAAAGAAGTGTACGTAGGTATATCTGGACATATTATTATAGCTTTATTATGTGCTACAACGACCGACGTCGAGTATAAAATATTATGATAGGGACAACCGATACATTTCAATTACCGATAACGGTCAGGATGTTTGTTTCGGACGTTTCAAGTTATTCTCCGCCGTTCGCGGACTCTTAAAGTTTTTCGGCGAGTACAAAGTTTCCAACTCGCACGAATTTGCAAGGACAAAATCGTAATATATTACATAGTGCAAATCATTGCACATTTAAAATAATGTAAAGTAACGTCATATGTTAGAAGGGCGTTCCGAACTTTGTGACTTGAAATATATGAGTATTTCAATGCCATGTGATAGCTAGGCGAGTTTAGGAGAGTGATTTGAATATTTATCAGCATCGATGGCGTACGCAAAATACGTTTAATGGGCGGGGGAGGGGGCCACCATAAATATAGTTATAATATATGTTTATACAGTACTCGTTATATTATTACAATTTTAAATACAAAGCTATTATGGTGAGTGGTGTTACCACCCACCACGCCGTTTGGTACTCCACCGACGAGCATCGTGGCTCAATAATAATACTGGTTCAGTTATACTTGTGAAAAAGAGTCAAAAAAAATTGAGTAAGGCACAGTCTACAGTATTTTCATCGTATCAATTAACATTTTACTTTTCTATTTTTTTAGAGTTTTATGATTTCGTTATCTGCAGTTATATGCAACATCGTTTATATTTCTATTGATATCGAGCCGCTGATTACGATGTATAGATTTAATAAAAATATAAAATCAAAATGAGAATTGCTATTTATTTATTTTTCTATTTTTGCTATTGATTTTTTCATGCAATTTTGTTGCATTTACATTTTAATATTATACGCAACAACATCCGAACCCTATAGTGGTATTATATAAGCAATGCTTAGGTTGATATTATCCAGTTGCCTGTACATTTTAAGTTCTAAAAATGCATTTTAAAAACGCAAACGACAAAACGATGATTTGCAATATTATTAATGTGAGGGAAATAAAAGACTGCACGGGAAGCCGCTACAATCATCTAACAAAATCAACAGAGCTTGAGAAATTGCTTGATAGTTGTTGGCGTTAAGTGTGATCCAAGAAAAAGACCTTGGAACTAGGAAGTAGGGGTCTGATTGGCCACCTTTGTCACACCGTAATTCTCGACACAATAACTTATTTTATGTCCTCGATGAAAAACCGAGGTACGAATATTTTACTTTTTTTGCCAAACTTTTTAGTAGAAGGATTATAGGTACTCAAACATGTTTCATAATATTCTGTTATATTTTATTTTATACAGATCATAATATGTGGATAGTAACTACTTTGTAGAAATCGTTTTTAAATTTTCTCAATAATTACTCAGTGTGAAAGTAATAATTATATTATACCTAGGTATCTATAATAATACAAATTAAAAACAACCGAAAATGTTTGAATGGAAGTCAGCAATCTCGGTTTTCCACTCAGAATCGTTTTTCATTTTAGTTTTTTTATGGAGATGATTTAACACCTTCTTTCGGTATACTGCCTGACTATTTTTTTCTCTCTCTTTTTTATCACAGAACTTTTTAGATCAAGTTTGTATGACTTACTTTTTTTTTTGCCTTCGTAATCCCCCGGCAGAGTT